CCTCACGGTGCAAAACTGCATGCGTGTCGTTACACTGAAGGCATGCCACATCAGCTTATCTCAGAGAGAGATTGCCACCTGCCGCGGCCTTTTGTGCTCTGAATCATGACTGGGTATGGAGCAGAGGTTGCTCTTGACTTTCTCCATGCCCTTTTAAATGCCACGCAGGTTCTCAAAAATAATGTCAGGGTTTGTTCTTACGTAATCTTTACTTTTATTTTTTCTATGCTTGTTTATTTCATGTTTTCTTCTTTCAGGGTTCCTGCAGATCCTTAAAAAGTCTTAAAGTCATTGAATTCATCAATCCAATGATAAGGCCTTAATTAGCCTTAAAATGTCTTAAATCAATCTTTCAGAAGTCTTAAAAGTGTTAACACACTGTAAATAGGATGATTGTAATTCATTTTCAAATATTAAAATAATTGGTAAAAATATATTTTTTAAATATTCACATGCAGACATTCCCCTTTGACATCACTTCCTGTTATTTCACATGCAAATATCTCAACATCTATCCATCTGACCAATGTGAAATTCATTTTGTAATATGTTAATAATGTTGTCTTCCCAAAAATGCATTCACTTTTCTTACAAAAAAATGATGTCACAGTCACTTTAAAGTTTCATCTACAGCAAATTAGGGCTAAGACCCCACTGTGGGTCCTAAAACTCCAAATTTTGGGTCGTTAGAGGATTTCCAGAAATTAAATTAAGTTTAAAACTGACTGCTAAGATTGTTTCTGTTATGGTTAAATATGGATAAAAACAGTGGGTCTATTAGCAATATTTTAATAATTCAACCAAAAATACTTTTATGAGTTTCTGCCACAGTTTTTATTTTTTTGTCATTTGTGTTTATTATGAAATTGGTCTTGAATTTAATTTCACTTGGCATTAAAAAGTCTTAAAATGTCTTACATTTAGCTTGCCTTAAACTGTAGGAACCTTGTCTTTACTTAATGTCCCTTTACAATAGCCTTTACCTTATAGGTAAATGTGCATTTATTAGTTCAAACAAACAAAAAAAAAAGAGAAAGTTACCCAGTTTGTCCGTCAATTATTTTTCTGATAACCACGAAGTAATTTGGCACATTTTGCCCAACTGTGAATCAATTAATCTATAAATTCTGATTTACTCAGTTTTTTTTATCTTGCTTTATTTCTTTGTGCTCCGTGAGTCACACTTCCCTTTGTCTTCCCTCTTTTACCCCTCTGCCTTCTTTGATAATAAAAGCTGTGAATACGTGTTGGGAATATTGATTAGCAGYAGAAAAAAACCCTTTTTTTTCTTGTTTTAAACATCCTTATCATCACTGTTCAACACATTCTCACTCCCGAGTCGTCACATATTGACGTTTTTCAAAGGTCCCTTTGCGTCCAATTTTGACGCATCAGGTACCCCCCTCGCGTCAGTCCTTGCCGCCCGCGGCTTTTCCGGGTTGCGCCACCAGGGGTCTTTGGGTCGGGGGTCTGAGGTTAACATTAGGGATCAGGATAAATGGTTAAGTTTAGGGACTGGGGTCAGGGATAGGATGTCTACAGTGAACATTAGGTAATTTTAGGCTTTGCAACACGTAGTTGCCATGAATTTCCTACATTTTCTAAAAATGGTTAATTTTACGTATCAGGGTTAATGGTTAATTTTAGGTACTAGGGTCTGGGACAGGATGTCTAAAGTGAATACACGTAATTTCACGCTTTGGGACGGTAGTATTTGTGCATTTTCTACACTTTGAAAAATTACGACAACAGATTCCGCCCCATCCCGTCAAAATATGACGCAAGGGGGGTACCTGATGCGTCAAAATTGGACGCAAAGGGACCTTTGAAAAACGTCAATATGTGATGACTCGGGAGTGAGAATGGGTTGCACTGTTAAACAATAATTCAGTTTCTACCTAAAGCTGGTTACCACAACACATTCAACTGGAAAGATTGCAGAAATTTTGAGGGGAAATAAATGTCTCCTGCATCGCAGAAATGGCCTTGTCAAAGACATTTAGAGGTCATCACATTTTCACATTGTTCACTGTTTTATTTTTATTTTATTTTTTATTACTGTGCCGCTCACACATATCTGTGCACCTATTGCACTGAAAAAAATTGACATGCAAAACAAGCACTTACTTGCATATTCACACATCCTCTAAGGTTCAGAGTCACGGGTATTTCTGTTCAGTGAGTGGGATGCATAGTGTTTCCATGGAGATCTATTTTTAGCCACTGACAAAAAAAGGGGCAACTGTTAAAATATGCTGTCATATTACAGCCGATGGAAAAAGGATCCCATTTTTGCCTCGTGCAAACATGAAAGCACAACTTTATTTTTAGTCATTTCCATGTGAAATTAGAACATTCAAATCAAAGCAACTCCTACAGGAACTAAGAGGCAGCTGAGAGGTCAAGTTTTTGTGTGATTTCTATGTCCAGTCAACGAAAAGGCCCCTAACAGAATTTCTACCAGTTTGTAAGGGTCTTCCATCCCTCTGGAGCCTTAAATTTTGGGACTTGTCAGGTTTGTGCATCACAGTAAACCTGACCCAACAATAAACTGAACCTTGTTTGCATCAGCAAGAATAAATGTTGACCTTTAACTTTAATACAGCATTATTAAAACCCATATTTCATACAAAGATTTGAATATATACTTTTATGTGTTTAATATAAGAAAACAAAATGATTCTGTCATCTAATTGACTCGTAAAACCACAGAGTATTTGAGTTCAGTGTGTAGTAATGCATTTAATTTCACTGAGCAGCATTGCAATCAGCAGTTGAGAAAAGAATAAGTTTGAAACAATATTTTTCAGGAGGCACTCAGTATTTAATGATTAGTTGCTGATTGCAGCATAGCTCTTCTCCCAAAGGCAACACAGAAGCAGGATGTATTACAGTGTGTGGGATTTGTATTTGAAGTGATTGCTGTCTTTTTTAATGTGTGTTTGACCACTAAAGTAGATTGTAGATTCCTCTGCCTCAGGATAAAGTCAACAAAATAGACTTGAGGGATAAAAAAATAGAACTGAAAGCAGTATATCATGTCCGTCAGACACAGCTGAAAGATGGCACAGGTTTAGCGAAAGCTGCATGCTAATATCTGCATACAGTGCTTCTGTGTCTGCAAATTCACAAACAGTATTTGTCTGCTTTGTGTGTGTGCATCTAACCATCTGCAACAAGCATTGTCATGTAATAGTGTAAGCGTTGCAACCACATGCATACACTCACACTTACACACAAAGCACAAATAGGTGGTCACGACTCAAATGAGTGCACTCACACGCTCACATTCAGTCATGTTTATTTGTGATGTAGGGCAGATTGCTGCAGAGATCAATGAGAGGTCTTCTCACAGAGACAATTAAAAGAGGATGTTAATGAGGCTATTTATAGACTGATCTACATGTAACCAGTTCAAAGTAGGGATGGGATTTTTTTATTTGGTTCAGTCTGCTTTCTATCTAACACTTTCTGTTTTTGATGGGTTTTTTTAATCATTTTTGTTGTTTTGTTTTTTTGTTGGCCACCAGTTATTTTCCGCACGTGTTACCAAATCCTCTCACCTGTCACACGCATGAGAGCTCAGATGTGAAGCGCTGGCAGCAGCAGCAGCGTTATCAGGTGCGATCCAGGGCCAATCCTGGGAGACCTGGTGACGCACATCACATGACATAATGCAGTGGTAATGTGTGTCGTTGTGAGGGAGACAGAGAGAGCAACTGTGAATATACGCCGTGGCTCTGTGTGCGCCCGGCAACCACATAATGATTCAGCACTGAAAAGCAATATTGAGAAAAAAAAACGTATTTGCAAATGGGGAGCAGAAAAGCAGCAGCACTTCGTGTTGCCACTGTAGATTTGTGAAAGTTTGATGCGATCACAGTTCCCGACACATCTCTGATGCGTATTTCTAATGAAGCTGTAATAAAGCAGGTTTAATACACAACCGTTTACACCAACAATCTTTATAGAGCTACTGTTTCAGATCCAGAACCATAGGGTAGTCCTGTAAAATGAGGATATGACCTGATCACCTGCAAATATCAACCCAGCTATTACTTTACAGAATGATATCACTTTGTAATGATCATTTCAGCTATTGTTAGAGAACTTATTAAAAAAGATTTACTATATTATTAAATAAATAAACAAACTCGTGTATGTGAAAAAGTGGAAGTTTAGCTGTAGGTTTTATTTAGTAAGATTTGTTGTTTTTCTTTCAACTGCTTCCTTCTGCAGGGCTGCTGTTACCCAACACACTGTGCTTAAACATGAGAACCTTTTCTGCTGACAAAAGAAAAAATGTATAACTCTGATGATGAGTTAAAAACTGTCATTTCACGTCTGACGTTTATGATTGAAGGATTTGTTACTTTTAACTGTCCAGAATATATGAAGAGCAAAAACATCCACCACTGTTTTCGCCAAAACTGTGTTTTTTATAGAGCTGGTATAAAAAAAGTTTCACTGAACTGCATTTTACAAGTAAATGGTAAATGGACTGAACTTATACAGTGCTTTATCAAGCCCCATGAAGACCCCAAAGCAATGAAGACATATTCAGACAGTTATACATACATCCACACACTGATGTAAGCTCCCCTAACCACTCAGTCACAGCTGCCCCAAGTAAATTAGGCCTCAAACCAACATGGACCTCTGCACATCAAACAACTAGAGATATTTATGCACAGTATTTCACAGTAAATAAAAAGGTATATAACTTGAACATTACAAAATTAATGCAAATTTGTGGCCAGCCATGGTTCAAATGACTAATTAGACATGCTTTATGTAAGAAAAATGTGAACAAAGAAAATTTGAAATTGGACATTATGAATTTTCCCCCTGAAACAAATAAAAAAGCACATAAGTAAACGGATTGCAAAACACTAAAACCTCAGTTTTTTGATTGTGATTACTGTGAATACACTTGGATTTATATAATCATGACATCAGAAATGATTTTGTCCAACCTCTTTTTTTTGTTCTGCTTTCAGGACTGGCCGGTGTCCAAACTGACCTGGACAAGAGAAAAGAAATATTTGGTAGAAACCTGATACCTCCAAAAAAGCCAAAAACCTTTATACAGCTGGTATGGGAGGCCCTGCAGGACGTTACCCTCATTATCCTGGAGATCGCTGCCCTCATCTCACTGGGACTCTCCTTCTACCACCCGCCAGGGGAGACCAGCGGAGAGTGTGAGTGTAGCCCACYACCAGTGACATTACTGGCACTCACTGACTCACCTATGGCCATGTTTGTGCAAACACTTTTTTTAATTGGTCCGACAGGTCTCACTTTGTTTGTGACCTGCCTTAAGAGGTCAAGTGACTCACAGAGCGCAGAGCCAATTTTTTATTTATTTATTTGTGTGTGTGTGTGTGTGTGTGTGTGTGTGTGTGTGTGTGTGTGTG